TAAAGTCTTACTTATGGATAATATGAGTCATTATTTCTATTCTCAATCGAGGTCGCTGTTTAATATAGTGTTAGTTGTAGGGTGTCACTGCCTCTATAATGCCATAGGCATAATATATAATAAATACCTTCTATTACATATAAAAAATAAAAAGAATAAAAAAAGACCAAAAATGAAGAAATGCAAAATTTCAATCTAAATTTGAGACCAAACGACTATAGTTACTTATTTCAAAACTCGACATAAACTCTTTTCTCTTAGCCGTCTAAAATAGACCTTTTTTAAAATAGAGTTAGACAAGCTCGTGAAACGCACCGAGAGTGGATTCATGTATGATTTTTATCATGGGAGTTGCATAGTTTTTCAGAAAATCGGAAAATACGAAAATTTGTGAAAATTCACGGTTTTTGGTAACACAAGTGACTCTTAACTGAGTGTTTGGCCTCTAGTTTTTTAAAAAAGCACTTCAGAAAGAGTTATTGAAAGGTTAGTGGTTATTTTGTATGCTCTTTCGAATGAGACATAAATAAAAAGAGAATAAAATTTTCCTCCGGCCAGCCGCACGGTTCCTACGTCGGTTTTCTGGCGGAAGCTCTCTTAAATCAGCATAGACAGATCATTTGGAATAGCAAACCAGAAGCTAAACTTCTCCACCATGCAACCTCTAACCTAAGCAGAAGATGAAAAATCCAGAAAAAAAACTGCATAATTTAACAACGAAACTGGTATCATAGCTAAAACAGGATAACCATTGAATATATTCTTTTCAATGCTCTCTCTTTCACTTACTTACTTAAATATATGAACAGAGAGTCAATAAATCACAGGCAATAAAGCTTCACTACGTCGAATAGTTCCTAGTTCAAAAAGAACGATAGTTTCCGTCGCAGGAACTGGAACTAGTGAATCGTTCCGTCCGCCCTCGTTTCTAGGAACATGAACAACTGCTGAACCGTTCCTAGTTCAGAACGGGAACCGAAAAACCGTTTCCGTTCAATAAACGCGAACTATTTAATCGTTCCGGTTGAAAAAACGAGAACTGTGAACTATCACATGGCTACTCTCGCCTACCGTTTCTTTATATTTTTATACGTCAAAATATATGTTCTTTCTTATTAAAGGAAAACAAGCAGCAGTCGGACGTAATAATGTTTCCAATAAACGATTGTTTTTCTTTCATTCTATGTGTGTATAAGTTTAGTTGAACGTCGACTAAGTAAGTATCTAGTTTGATATAAGAAAAGAAAAAAAATGAAAAAAAAAACACAATACACAGGTCATTTTTTTTAAATGTTGATGTAGTAGTTTAAAACTGTGGCTTTTCGTAAAACAAGAATAAAAAGCAGCCGCAACAATAACAACATGGAATCCACTTCTTCTAACATAAATGATATACTTTCATATGAAATACTTGAAAAAATTTTTTCATACATGCAACCACAATCCTATAAATTTTATTTATTACCATCGTTGTCGTTGTTACCTATATTAAATTTGTCATTAACATGTAAAAAATGGAGAAGGATTATATTTAATGCATATTTCTTACATAAATATTATTTTCAATCGAAATATTTTAAAAATAATCATAATGATAAATTATCATTTTATAATATTAACGAAAACAAAAATCAACTTTATATAACACCATTATCTAATATTAATAATCATCTTAATATACTGTCCAGTGTATCATTTTTATTTTCAAAATTGCAAGGTATGGTAAGAAGGATAAAGATTTGAATTGCCAAAAATGATGAAAAAATAATCAAAAAGGTGTCTCTTTTGTTCCTCTTGCCAATTCGTAAACTGGACGAATTCGTAGGCAAGACATTTCGGCTACCCACGAATTCGTAAATCGAATTGGTCTACTATCAACGAATTCGTAGATGCCAAAGCATATCCGATGAATTCGTAAATTCGCATACTTCTCATATCTATTCGCCGTTACTGTTACGAATTCGCAGAATGCGAACTGATGTCAAGGAGAAGAAATTGGTCTATGAGGTTAAGAAAACAAAGAATCGTCTCTTCGCTTCAATTCTTTCATCAATTCGTCGATAGTTTTTCGCGAAAGAAAATAGAGAGGAATCTCTTTCCTTTTTGTGTGCATGTGCGGAGGCGATAGTGAGGGTGGCTGTGAGTGTTTACACAACAAGCCAAACGCGTTCAGTCAGTGCGTATTTCAGTCAGTGTTTTGCGAATTCGTAAAAATAATGGTGAACTGAAATCTGAACTATGCGAATCGCTGCTAAGAGACGAATATATGTATTTTTAACCTTTAAAAATTTTGTGGTCTCTGACATCAATTCGCATTTTACGAATTCGTAAAAATAATGGCGAGTTGAGGTGAGAACTATGCAAAGAGACGATTCTTACTTTTTTTAACCTCAGAGAAATGTGTCTTGTCCTTGACATCAATTCGCCAAGCATATCCGACGAATTCATAAATAGAAGGCGTAAATTTGCATTTTATTGTCTACGAATTTTTCTATGAGGTTAAAAATAGATGGATTCGTCTCTTCGCATCAATTTGCCCTTATTTTTACGAATTGATATCAAGGACAAGAAATTTTGAGAGGATGGCTGTGAGTGATAGAAGAACCAGTTTCTATTAATCTAGTCTATCTAATCTAGTTTTTCTTTGAAAACTAATTACAGCGTCATTTTGTTCAGCTGTTGTTAATGATTGTCCCTATATAATATTCTACGTTTTAGATAATAATGAAGAATGGAGGGCGGTCTGGGCCTTATCCGACTTAGATAATATTTATAGCATTAATTTAATATTATTATGGCTTATTAATCATCCATTATTACATATTTTGATTGATTCTAATAATTATTTATGCTATGTTTTGTTAGCAAAACATTTGACAAAAAAATTACAAAAAACAAGATTTAAAATAAAATAAATGATATCGTTTAACAATTAATAAACAAAGAAATTCACAGGAAGAATTGTATAATAATAACCAATATGCTGGCCATTATGAATTATGGTTCAATGATCAATGTATTGTTTTAAATGAACAACAACAAAAAGAACATATAGAACACGAACTAGATTTTTCCTTTTTACCTTATAATTCTTTAGTAATTTGTAATTGTAATAATAATTATTTATTAAAGACAGATCATGTTTTAGTAAGGTCACGTAGATTTTTATCTTATGAAATTCTTGCAATGTATGAACAACAATTGATAAAGTAAATATTGGTAAATTTATTATTAATAATTCTGCATATGCATATGCGTATGCAGATAGAAGAGAAGAAGAAATAATGTCTATACTACCGATTACCATTATTACTGGTAGAAGAGAAAGATGCAGCAAATACAACAATAAGAAATATGACGATAATTTTTTGGGTTTTCGATTCTATTTTCTATTTATTTGTATTATGGTTGCAGTTTGTGTTTTCATTTTGTACTGAATTATGTTTTATAAGAAAAAATAAATAATCTTTTTCGATCATTAGATCTTTCCTGGCCGACTTTTAAGATTTGACGTTAAAGTGTCTCGGCTGGTGAAAAATCTAATTTCACCAGGAAACTAGCGCAAGTCGTTCCAGGAAAGGTCTAATGATCGAAAAAGATTATTTACACAGATAACTCGGCAAGATCTATGAAATGGATCGATTAAAAATTGCTTTAAAAAGCAAAAAACCATCTAGAAAACGGAGCCTCTGAAGCCGTATTAGCCCTTCCCATATTCGTAATCAGCATCAAAGATTACCTATCATCTCATAAGTTTCATCAACAACCCGATGTGACAGCTGGGGACCCTCTCCGGTATCACAGTGGGCATTTTCTGCCAGGGCAGGCGGAAATTAGCACTTTATTGGCTTTTTTAAATCTTAAAACAGTTTTTCATAGGTAATTGATGATTCTGAATCTAATAGTACAATCAGAATTCGTCTAGCTAGTTTTGGTTTTCTGAGATTTTTGACTGTTTTACCGAAAAATCAGGGGCTAACCGAATTAACCAAAAAAACGAAGAAAGATAAAACAAACAAAGAGTAGGAGAGAGTCAACTGAAACAAAGGAAGAGATCACTGTCATAAGCGCCAGATCTTATCAAACATATGAAAAGTATGACCTTTTGCCAGGCTCCGAGATACAGGATCATTTGTATATCAAAAAGCTTAGAACTAATTTTATATTAACTTAGCATAAAATTTGGAATAGGGAAATTCAGAAAAAAATAATTTTGATTCGCGTTTTTTAGCGCCATTTTTTGGCGCCACTTTTTATGTGTATTTGCTTCTTAAAATTAACATCCGTTTTTTTAGCATTTTTATTCTTACATACTTACTTAGTTAAAATAAACCATTTCTACTACATAACTCATCATATAACAGCTAAAACACTTTCTAGTTTTATTCTAGCGCGTCGATTGGTTCGTGGAACTGCCCACGGAGTAACAAAAGAGATGTGCTTTGTTAGCTGAGTTCTCGCTTATTTAGTTTTACTAATGGATAGAATAAAAAAAGAAAACTGAAAAGAGGTCTTTTTGCAGTTGTTTTGCCTGCTGATGTTATTTTACCATTTGCTTTTAGCACAATATACACGGCTTTCCTACGCTTGATCACACCTTAATTCTTGAAACTTTCGTTGCTACTCTATTAATTTATGAACATATAAAGTGAGTTCAGCTAGTAAGCTATGACAGCGTTTTTGATGACTCGCGGTTCGACCAGCAATTTGTTTTTCGCTTTACATAAAAGAAAATTTCACTGCATTTTTTCTAATCTGAGTGTGTTTTCACTGTAGTGACTGATACTCTTTTGTTCGTTTCTTTAAGAAGAATTATATTGAACCTACCGCCATGGTCGATGACGTCATAGGTTTTAGTCGTCTGAAGCTATCTTTTCTGTGGCAAAATTTCATTCAATGAGATCTGTTGCAAATAAATACTATTTATTACAGCTATTCATGCTATTGATTTCGACTGGAAAAAAATTAATGGAAAAACAGTGCATTTGTATGTTAAAGAGAACACTTAACCAATCAGGAGTTCCATGGTTTACTGCTGTGGAACAGTAGATTTTTTCTCATATATTTCCTCTACGCTGTTGTTGCCCGGCGACACCTCAACAGTGAGGTCGACTGCAAAATGACTAAAAAGTTTCCGATCCAGAGTTTTAGAGAAGTTCTGTCTTTTGATAATAAACTTTTTCCAGTTTTAATTTGACGAAAAGAATTAGCCACACAAGTTTTTATCTATGACTCATCGACGACTAAAAAATCAAGAAGGGAAGCACTTTTTTGCCGTTGGCGGGT